GATTTGAACCGTGTACCTCTGGGATTGCAGTGCAACATCTTGCCAGTAATTAATAATATTTTTACTACAACTGTCATCATGAAGTTGGCAATAACTTGGATGGACTCAATTAATACCCTATTGCTATAAAAATCCCACCACCCAGAACAGCACCTGATATTTAAATAACAGCATGTACTCTGAGCTTGGATGGCCTAGTGGGTAAGACCAAACCAAAGACATATGGTTCAATTTCACCACGTTCCACAGGAGTATGATGGGAAATCAACTCCCATGTGATTTACATCCTCTGAGAACTCACTGAAGAGTCAGCTAAGGTCATTTGTGACTCAACCGCACCAGCAACAATCAATAGGTACTTTGTTCAAGAGTAAGTATGCCACTTTGTTTGAGGACGGACCTGATTTTTCCAATGATTATGAAAAAGGAAGACCTAAGAACTGACGTCACAGAAGTAGAATGCTGATGAAGAAGAATGCATAGCACAGGAACTAAGCAAATATGGCTTGGAAGAAGTATAAGCAAAATGTTCCTTAGAGGCAAGGATAGAAGCATTTTATGTCACACATTTTGGTTCTATTACTAGGAGAGGGACACGGGGCTTGGTAAGTTGATGGTCGGTGAAGGGGAAAAAAAGGGGACAGGGGAAGATACTCAAGCGATTAAGTGGTTACAAATACGAGTTAAAATACAACCATGATTGTGAGGCTGGTGTTTAACTGATTGGTATTTTAACACTGGACTGAGCAAATTCTCTTTTATGTCAGAAAGCATCACTATGAATTGGAATTGACTATACATAAATACACCTAAACAACAACAGATATTTACGAATGACTGGAAAAAATCTTGAAAAGGTATAGCTGACTGTGTAACAAGATCTCCTGATTTCACGACAATGCACAAGCCTGATCAATGAATGGGAGGAAAAACCCCCACCAAAAAACCAAGAGATTTTCACCAAAGGAGTTGAGTTCTGGCTCACAGTGATGTCACGTATGGCAAAACCTTCTGTGCCACAGAGTAGACATTTGACCATTTCTCCTCAGGTACTATTGCCCGGATGGACAGGAACTGCCCACATTTCATTTACAAGCTGAGAGGTGAACCATTTCTAACATCCAGGGTGTGAGATTAGCTTAGAAGTTGGCTTTTCTACCCATTACATTAATCCTCCTTTGGTCGCCAGCTACCGTTAACTGTAGATGTATTTTCTTGCAAATCATCAAGAGCTGTGGGACTAGGATAAGAGAGAGTCCTTGCCACATCAGGCAGCAAGACTTGAGGGAGACAGGTGTATGACCCTGGTGAGAGTGAAAGCCTGGTGATGGTGGTTGAGAGACTGTGGCATTGCTCTGGAGACCCCATAGCAAGGTATAACCAGAGGAGTCCCAGGATAAAGGTCACACTTAAACGTTCTGGTGCTTGTCTGTTGCTTGAAGAAGCTGACTTGTACACTGCTCTGAGACAAACCTTGCTGGGCAATTTGGACGTGACTGCTGAAATGAAACCAGGCCTTTGACGAATTACGGAATTGTGTTTTTCTGTTAATCTGGTTTGGGATTGCTAGAGTAAAACTGAACTTACGTTGTGAGATATTCTTTTCCTCTCTCCTACTGCTGGATTGGCTCTAGAGATACTATCGGGTTGAGACTCTATAACAGGTTTCTGCTCTGGGCCAATACTATTCTCATTCTCTTTCTGAAAGACGCTCCTAGCCCTGTCCCTCTAGATCCCATTCTCTGTCCTTTTTTAATACTCATAAACCAAACCAACTCATAGGCATATTATAGACATTGGAGTAGAATTGTGCTTCTTATTGTTTTCAGTGGGTGGAGTTTTACAGAAGAAGATCACCAGACTATTATTCTGTCTATCATTGGTGGACCTGAACCTCCAACTTTGTGGTCAACCGTGGAACAAAAACTGCACTACTCAGGGACTTAATTAATGGAAGCACCAAAGCACCCCAAAACCACTGCATTTAACAAGAACAAGAATGAAACTAACTAGGGACTATATATATCCATTAAAAATGAAAGTCCCCTTTGAGTTATAAACGTTTCTAGTCATTATCTACATGGGATTGCGACGGCGGCACCCAGCAGGACCTCAGGTCTCTGTGATTTGTAGATGGCACCTAACAACATTTATATGGGAGCAAATTGAAAACAATACGACTCACAGGAGTAAAGGGGGAAACTCAGTGGACATTTAGATTTATATATAAATATTTAATGTTTATGTTAATGTTGTTTGTATATAACGTTTTAACATTGATGTGAACGTTGTGGTTGTTGTTGGATGGCATCAAAGAGACCAAAACTCATAGCGACACTATGAACCATAGACCTGAATCTTGTCCTGTCACGTGTCACCCTCATCATCTCTGACACACTTGAACCCATGGCTACAGTCATCATGTCAATCCACCTCGATGGGAATCTTACTCTCTTTTGCTGACCCTCCATCGTTACAAGCATGCTATCTTAGTCCAAGGAACAGTATCTCCCAGCAACATGTTGAAATGGAGTATGAGAGACGGAGCTTTGCAATCCTTGCCTCCAAGGAGCACTCTGGCTGCACCTTTTCTAAGGAACACCTGCTAATGAGGGAGGTAAAACTCATAAAAGTCTGAGAAGGATTGCACAGATTGGAAGAATGTAATTGTTGTCTTGAGGGGCTGATGAGGGATTAGTGTCAGGGAACAATTGTTGTTGTTATGCTGGGTGACACATCTATTATGCATATTTTGGTGATGGCCAGAGACCACTTACCTTTTTCCCCATGTCCCATTATACAATTTCCCCAGCATTGAAAAGAATGTATTTATTTAAACAAGCTTTTCATGCCTGAGAGTTGACAAGGATAAATAAAATTTGACTTGTTTTTCTTGTTATAGAGAGGGAGAAACAGAGAGATAAGATAGATGATAGGTATATAGTAATATAACCAAAGAGAGAGAAATAAAAGATGGAGATTAAATAGATGAGAGAAGTTGTTGTTGTTGTTATGTGCCGTCGAGTCGCTTGCGACTCATAGCGACCCTATGTACAATAGCCCTAAACTCTGCTCTGTCCTGTGCCAATCGCACTGCCTCTGACACACCCATCCGGAGTGCCCCAGTCACTGAATCAATCCACCTCATCGAGGGTCTTCCCCTCCTGCACTGTCCCTCCACCTTCCCAAGCATGATATCCCTCTCCAAGGACCTGTCCCTCCTTGCAACATGTCCAAACTATGTCAGATGAAGCCCCAGAATCCTTGCCTCGAAGGAGTAGCTTGGTTTAACCCTCTCCACGATGAATCTGTCTGTTTTCTTGGCAGTCCATGGTACATTCAATACTCTTCACCAGCACCACAGGTGAAAGGCGTCAATTCTCCTTCTATCCTCCCTAGACATTGTCCAACTCTCTGAAGCATAACAAGTGATTGCAAAGACCATGGCCTGTACCAGTGAACGATACACACAGAAAATGTTGAATGGGTGCA